AATAATCATACATGCTGGAGGTTCATGCGACCCCATAATGCAACACCTTCACCCCAGCAGACTTTCCCCTACATGCGGGAAGGGGCCAAAACAGCCAATACAGCGCAGAAACCATGTCGAGATTAGTAAATCTCCATTACCGAAATGTACCAAATTTGAATTTTTCAGTTTCCCTCTTTTTGATCAACGTCTGGGTTCTTCCGCGCGGCTTTGTCTTCCTTCTTTCATTGTCTTAACAAAGGAGGCTGCTGGGCCAACAGACGTAGAACGATGGCGCTCATCTCGCTCGCCTTTTTTTAATCATTTCGACCGTTTCGGCAACAACGGACGATGGAACGACAACAATGAAAGAACAACAGTAACGCCAGCACTGGATCCCTTCCTTTCTCCTTGTCCTTTCTGTGTTTATGTTGTTTATCAACGTATATCCTTGCGATTTTTATGTGCCATTCGCGTCGAGTATATTGTGGTTATATTACCCAAGTCTGAGGTAACCGACGATACGACGAGTAGGCCTGCGGTTGGTTAATACTATACGACAGAACGACGTTAAGTGACCTAAAAATCGATGTCTGGTGGTATTTACGCTGTGTGCAAGCCGACCAAGTTCGGGAAAATTTAGCAATATTTGCTGGCAGTACAATTACCCCACTAGCACACACTGGATACTTGAGAACGCGAACCAGTAATACAATTATTTGTTGTGGGGCAAAGCGACCTGAAGGAATAACAAAGCACTTTCTCCTCCACAACATACTGTTTCTGCTGTTAGCTATCTGCAAGTTTAGCGCAAAAAGCACAATCGCGCCAGCAAGCCTAGCGCGTTGCATCTTGGGTTTTTTTGTACTTTGACTTTCGACTTCGCATTCTCATTCTGTTTGGTGAACTCTTTTAATATCTTATTCACTCCTCGGCGGACACCGCTCGTACAGCTGTGCTTTAACTATCAGAAAGCGTGGTGCTTGCATTGGTTTTCCTCCTGCGCCAAGACAAAATAAATGAATACACATCCCGCTTCGGCATGAAAAAACGTAAATGACGGTGTAGTTTTTATGCGTTTTTTGAATCGATGCAATGCAAAAACGCATACTGTCGAGGGTCTGTCTGTGGGTGTATGTATGTGTGTCTGTATTTGCGCCTCTATCGAGTTTTCATCTCGAAACCTACAAAAGCTACAAGGCTGAAACTTTGGCAACTTGATCTGCACATAAGTGCGGGCCCCTACCCTTGAAATGGATGCACATTTCCACGTGGTTCTCACGTAAGGGCATATTAAAGTTTTTTCGGCAGAAAAGCGTTTTCGAGAACGGCGCAAGCTAGAAGACTGAAACTTCCCCGAGATGTTCCTTGGCCATATCTAATCCAAAAACCTCAAATTCAGCTTTCACGAAGTTTCACGTGCGCAGACGTCAAAGTTTAAACTAGCGTCGTGTCAACTCTAGATTTAATCTGACCAAGAAGCTGTAAAGAGTTGTAATTTTGCAGCATTACTTTTCGCCCACTGATGTGCCTGTGAAAATAAATTGAGCTTTCCAGCCGCTCTGCATCACACTTACGAACACGTGAAAATTTCATGCAGGCACTTTTCTAAATTCAGAACTGGAGCAGCTAGAGGACCAGAACTTTCTGAGCATATCCGGCAGTAGCGTTTGACCAGGTGGATGTGAAAACGACTTTCACGTCCCTTTTATGTTTTACGTACGCACACGGGAAATCTGACGCAACTCTGCAACCAAAATAGCTAGAGCGCTGAAATCTTCTGAGCGTGATCCAGGGTCGTATTTAAACAAGCGCACAGACAACATTCACGCTGTCACACACGTGCAAACACGTGAAACTTAGTGTAACTCCGCAACCAAAGCAGCTACGGCGCTGAAATTTTCTGAATATGACCCAGGACCGTGTTTGAATAAATGCACGCGAAGACAGCATTCACTGTCATTCACGTAGGAACAAGTAAAATTTGACGTAACCTTGTAACAGAGCAGCTGGAGTGCTGAATTTTTCTGGGCATAGCCCAGGACCGTATTTAAGCAAACGCATGCGAAAACAGCACTGGCGTTTACCCTCACGCACGAACACGTGAAATTTGACGTAACTCCGCAATCGAAGCATCTAGAGTGCTGGATTTTTTGAGCATGGATTGGAAATCATTGTAATAATTTCCAATAGTCGTGATGGCACTCTCAATTCTCTTAGCGAAAAGCACTTACCGGAAGAAGCAGTGCCAACAGTGAAAAAAAAACCTGCAGGGGAACTGTACAAAAAATGCATCTTCGCACTGGCAATCGGTGCGCCCTCGACTAAGTTATTTCATTATGAAATAACCAGGCATTCCAAGAGGAAAACAGGGGAAGTGAGTGGGGGAGGAGGCGAGGGGGATTATGAGCATAAAAAATCTGGAGTTGTTATCGCAAAGTGTAATGCAGAACGATAAGAAATTCTTTAAGTACGTAGTGTTTTTAAGGTAGTGTGCAATATTTCTATAAATTTTAGTCCATAACAAGGAACACAGTGCTCTTCATTTCAGCACGGAACTACCCAATTATATCACACAGACCTTGCAAATATCGTAACTAAGCCTAAGAAAGGAACTAAGCAATCAGAAGATGGAATGAGTGTACGCAAAGTTAGGGTCATACTTAAGAGAGGATGAATGATTCAAGAATTTCATCATTCAGATTCGGCTCAAATTCGCCGCCAGTTGATCCACATTTACTGCATTTTCATAAAGGGGACTGGAAGTATATTAAACTAAATACTGCTCTGTTAAGTTAACAAAAAACTTGTGAAACAACATAGCTCAGCATTCAAGATATCATTGTCGAGTACACGGAGCGAGCATGCCTGCACCAAAATGGCAAACCTATCAGTGATTAAGGACGGCACATTTGCGAAGGATAGCAGTGGTACTCACAGTTTGGAGGCAACTCTAGAGCAACTATGCGATGAAGGAGAACAGAAAACAGACAGCAGCGAAAATAAGTGCTACAAAAAGCGTAGAATGGTATCAACCTGTAGATGATCTCTTTGGAGTGAAGGAACTGCAAGGCGATGATTATTTCACAAGCGTAAAAGCGAGTACGACTTTCGTCGAATTTTTTTACAGCTTGAATATGATGCATGAGATCGCCCCCATTGAGATATTCCATCACAAAGAACAAATATTCCTGAAACAGACCAACTAGCCAAGCTG